TGAGGTGAGGAGTGAAAATAAACTGATACATTAATACAAACTGAGGTGAGGTCTCAAATATCTGGTGTAACCACATTTATTAGGAAATTACCAATTATAATCTGTCATATGAAAATTTAAGCTGTTTATCTGGTAAATCATAAAAGTTAGCAGTAATTCTGGATATAGGCACTGTAGTTTACCAAAAAACTTACCTCTAAACACATAGCAAGTTATGGTAAATTCTGCCAATGATGGATTTAGTCACAATATGTAAAAGATAAATTTATGTTTTTTCAAAAAAAAACTTTTATCACCATTTCATTAAGGAGTATCAAAGTTCAGGTAATAGCTAATATAGCACACCAAGTAAGTGGCCAATCTAAAACCTTAAAAAAAAACAAAACAATACTATGTAAATACTGAATTCATCCAGAGTACACAAAAAATAACTTTGTAAATAATTTCAAACTTACAGAAAAGGTGCTAGAATAATAATACAAGAACATAAGTATACCCTTTACCCTAGTTCATCTATTATTAACCTTTTTTCCCCCTCATCTGCTTTATCATTTGGGTGCTCACTTTGTCTTTCTTTCTAAATATATTTTTCCTATACCATTTGAGAATACGTTGCATATATCATGGCTGTTTACCACTTAATAATCAGAGTGTACATTTCCTAAGAACAAGATGTTTTCTTATATAACTTCACACTACAGTTCTCAATAAATTTAACAGTGATATAATTTTATCTGATTTATAGTGTAAATGTCAACTGACCCTAATGTCCTTTGTAGCCTTTAGTTTTTCTTCCAGTATAGGACGCAGTCTAGGATCATGTATTATAGTTTTCATGTTTCTTAAATTTTTAAAATCTGGAACATCAACATTTTTGGAGAATTCATTCTCTCCACTCCCACCACATACTTTAATATACGTCCCTCACTTGGGATTTCTCTGATATTTCCTTATTATTAAATTTACATGAATTCCCACTTGGAATTCTACATACTGACGTGTCCTTCTTACTGTATCACATGTTCATTTGCCCCTCGTTGGTGATGTTAATTTTAATCACCTTGTCAAGGAATTCTCCTACTTCTCCAGTATAAAAAAAAAAACCAACAACTATTTCTTCCCTTGCAATGAATAGGTAGTATGTGGGGACACACTTTAAAACCCTGAAAACATTCTGCTTATCAAAACCTCCCCCTATATTTAGCTTCATTGATGATTCCTGCCTAATCTTGTCTTTATGATGATTATTTTAAAATGATGACTTTCCATTTCTAACCCTCATCCGTATTTACTGGTCAGCACTTGGCCATCTACTGTAATGAAGAACCATTCCTTTTCCCCCATTTTTTTATATTTCTATTTGTTATTGATATGGACTCATAGATACCTATTTTCTAAATTATTTATAATTAATTATTGCACTTTATTTCGATGGTTAGATTGTCTCAGATTTCAACAGTAGGACTAACTTCAAGCTGGCACTTGTGTCCTTATGAGTTTTTTTTTAAGTATCTTTTCCTTCCAGCAAAGGAAGATAATATTCAAGATTCCTCTTATATTTTCCCTGCTCAAGCCCTGGAATCAACAATTTCTCAAAGGAGCCCTGGTTTCCTTTAGCAGGGAATGGTATTACAGGCCATTATCTGGGTATAAGCCATGTCATTATTGGGGTTTCTTTGCTTCCAGGCCCTTCAGTAGACAAAGGTGAGAAATATATGAAAGTGTAAACACATGTATATACATACATGCACACACATTCATTCACACACATACTTTACAAAGCTTGAATTCTGACCAATGCCTCCAATTCAAATTCATCCCCACAGGATTCTTTCTCACCTTGCCCTGCTCCATACTTACATATAATCTTCTTCTATAGTGAGAATCCTGGTTCCCAAGAACAGAGACATTTACTCATTTGCTCAATCCTGCAAGAGTTTCTGAACTGCTGTGCATATATAACTATGAAAAATAATCCTAATAAAAGGAGTTTAAGGCTTAAGTTTTCTTTCCTCCATCAACTCCACCTGACTGAGAACACATAGTCAAATGCTATATCATAGGTTGCTTGAATTCTTTCTTTTTATATTCCCCTTTAGTACAGTTACACATTCACTTAAAATAGAACTGCAGACTTCCACTGCAGGCCATGATGAATAAACAAGGACCATATTTATCCTTCCACCTGAAACAACCCCACCTCTGCAAAAAAAGACAAAATATATGAAGCAAGAATTTTCAAGACATTCGAAATTTGTCAAACAGTGATCCATGAAAGACATGGAAAAAAAGTGGTGGGCCTTGTCCATGTATACTGCTTTGAAAGCTTCCAAGCTGTGGCACAAGGAGATGAAGCCCAGATGAAATCCAAGGAACTGCCTGAGTTGAGGAAACAGAGGTAAGAGTCTGGGATACTAAGGCACATTAAGAGGGCCGGGCGCGGTGGCTCAAGCCTGTAATCCCAGCACTTTGGGAGGCCGAGGCGGGTGGATCACGAGGT